TATTTCTATCTTGAGCCGAATTGATGAATTAGCCGTATCCATACTATTATTTGATAGGACCAAAAAACTTTGAATCCAGATGTCGCTGTTGCGTTCTGTACAGATCTCATTGCAACTCTCCTGTCCCTGAATGAATCGATCCTGAGTAAGTGGTGTTGATAACTTCTTTTACGAAGACTTCATTTATGACATCGACAGAAAGGTCAAACCACGAATATCGAAGAAAAATGATGGTTTCAAGGTGGTCCATTGCAGGCTTTGGCATCGACCAGCGAATAATAATTCGATTTCTGTCTCTCTGCAAGCATACAAATGAACGATGACGAAAATCAAAAGCTTTGCCCCCATGATTCTGTACCAAACTGTTCTATTTCGATCTACTATAAATCTCATACCTACTTCTACTGGACGGGTTATCGATGCAACTTTTGAACTCTTGTGCACCTGGTGAAACAATCTTAGGAAGTCGTGAACGACGACTTCTCAGTAGAAGATGTCACCTATGTATTGACAGAAATTGAAAACCAACATCAAAGATGAATGAGAGTTTCAAAATATGATATATAAAAGTGTTTTTATCACAGCACCACCTGTGATAAAAACCAGCACCAACATCAGTTGGTCCTGGTGCTGTGGTCATGAACGGTTTCATAGTAATATTTAAGAAATGGCCACAACATTTGCAGTTACATTTCAAATGGACCACATAATATTTCAAAATGAAGTTATTACTCTGCTCTTGGACATATTTCTGTAGGCAAAGTTATTCTCAGGTAGATATTCCTGGCATTGGTTTCCAATAAGAAATATCCAAATTTAAAAAAATGTGTGAATTGGTGCAACTGACTTTGAATGTGAGTCAGCATTTTCCTACTCAAACAAAAAACAAAAACCGTTCTCGCTTGACAGACGCTCATACACTGGATTCTTTAAGGTTGGGTATTTCCAACTACGAACCTGATTTTGCTAATCTAGCGGAAGATGCTCAGACGGTATGCTCACACTCATATAAATAAAAATAATATTCAGTTGAATGTTTTCCCTCTTGATAAAATAAAATATACTACATAATTGTGTACTGTACTATGCTGTTCCATTAAGGATTTGTAGATCGCACATGGTTTCGTCAGTACACAGTAGATCTTGGGTCTAATCATGTCGGCCACCCCTGCTCTAAATATTATTCGAGAGTAACTATAAATGAATCCAACCATGAAACTGATATTTTTTCAGGAAATCCATTAAAAAAACTGATGAAACAATTATGATTACTGTGTCGACAAAGTCAAAGTATCTAATACATAAATAAGGTAAAATGAATTTTTAATAATGTTATCAGGAAATGAGAATAGGTGCTCCAAATAAACAAACCCTATGGAAATAATTGTTTGCTGTTTGGGCAAAGATGTTAAGTCACAGTTTTCCCATAAGTAGTCACGCGGTCAAAGCGAGTTCTACACTCCCCTAATCATTCCCTCGTACAACTTCACTCGTAATAGTTCCGCAGAGATTCATTTCAACGTATCACTTCATTTTCACAAGATAATCACACACTGTAGTGCCCCCACGCCTCGTTATTTCCTTCCATAGGCGTGTAGTTCCCCATAGCCGCAGATCCACTGAAAACCGAAGGCCTCTGTGGTAAGTACTGATACGAGGGCAAATATTGGTGACCATTGTTCGAATAGTATGTTGAAGGAGCAGAAGGGTAAGAATACACGCCAGAAGAAGTCGACTGCAAGTACCTCTCGGACCTCACAGTACTTGGTTGCAGCTCATGATATCTACCGAAAGGGGTACTCTCCTCGCATCGGTCACCTACTTGACCTGTTTCAGTGCAGAGTTTTTTGTTCTTGTAGTTGTTGTTACTTTCTTCCTCATCTTGGTTGTGTTTCAGATAGAGCTGTTGATATTGGTACTGAGCTTCTGTGGGTAGATACTGATCCAAGTCGCTACTGTCTAAACACTCGTCAGGCATGTAGGCATTGTCGATGTCGGGAATTCTGTGGTAAGACTCCAAGTCCAGACTATGCTGGTCACAAGACCTCAGTAACTGTGACGAAATTTGCGGACTGTTGGGTTGAGAGGAACAAGTTGAAGGAGAAGTAGAACTGTGGCTTCTTGGGCTGCAGGGCGAATCCTCTTGCTTCAAGGGTCGGGAAAAAGTTACATTCTGACCGTGTGGAAGTTGGTGTTGATGCAGCTGATCGGGACCTTTGTTTTGTTTTCTGCGTCGTGGCTGGTACTTGTAGTCTGGATGCTCGCGCTTATGAATGACGCGCAGGCGTTCTGCTTCTTCGATGAATGGTTTTTTGTCGTTGTCACTCAACACCCTGGAACAAATGAAAACAAAATGAATTTGAATGACGTAACAATCTACCATAATCATATATTCATTATGTGCATAGAATACCAAAAGCATATACATCCTAAACGCCAGTTTGTTTTCAATTCCTAATGACGGATTTCCACCAAACGAAAATAACCACAACAGAACAGCATCTGTGTCGATTTCGACAGAGCTTGAATTGTCAAAATAAGAAACATTTTGAAGACTCTATGTTGCGGGCCACTGTTTTTGTCAACAATAAAATGTCCCATCGGCAGTCGGAAATATCAGAAGGTTTCGGTGTTTTGCCTGTGTTTTTGTGAACTGAGTTCGCTATGTGAAAACGGTTGGCGACATTATTACTTTATTCCATGTGTTATTCTGTGGTAGGTATAAATTTCGATTATCTGCATTAGGCGGGTTCTTTTTATTGATTTGTTGTATTGTTATTACTTTTTAACAAGAATGAGATTTAATTTTCCTATGTAGAACATGAGCGGAAAAAAACAACGAACAGTTGTGAAATGCAACAATTTAATTGCTATTGGTGTAGTGGAAACGATAGAAAACGGTTTGCAACAAAACACGCGACTCAGACCCATTTTTGTCTGTTTGGTGGAATTCGAGTTTAGAGTTTGTTTTCGAAACTAAAAATAGTTTTTTGTTTCTGTTTTTGAAAACAAAAATAGTCGTCTCAACACTCCTCATTGTGTGCGGCAGGTTGGCTATCCTTGTTCATCATTCACTGTCCGAACCACTGTGCATGCTGTTTTTGGCGAGTACATTGGCTTGGGATATCGGTTTTGAGCAAACCGGCCATCGGATGCCTGCTTCCACGTAGCCCTGCTGGATACGGGAATGACAGAAACACTTGTGATTCTGTCATTTCTTAACTGAATGGTATCCCAACGATGGCTTAATCCTAAGGTGTGTGTATCCGTGCCGAGAGGATGAATGACACTGAGCCTATCAGCTGTCTCTACGGAACCTTCGAGATACTGGGCGCCCTCTCGTAACATCGCCATGTTACGGTAATGCGAGGCTCTGCCGTGATTGACCTTCTTTCCCTGGCTATTCCTGGGACTTTTATGGACAGAGTAAACTTAAAAATTCTCTCTGACGCTGAGTGTACAGAGGAGATAGATGTCGAGCTTACGATTTCAACTGTATCTAAAGAAAAGGTTTGGTGGTGCAGACAGGAAACGACTGAGTCGTCTCCTCAAGAGCAGGGCACCTTATGGAACCGCCTTAGACCAAAGTCTTAAGCGGCGTACGCAGAATATGTCGCAGGTGGAGGAACACAAACCCCCATGAGCAGGTTAGCAAACGCTTGCGCTCAAGTGATGATTCACCAAAACCAGAGGCTAAAAGTTGGATCTAAGGCATTGTCAGGTAGAGCTGACGTGCAAAAACCCTCATATGGGAAGGTTGTTGCGGGTATCAAGGTGGGAATCTTGCAACTTGATTACCCGACTACCCCATTCACGATGAAACAGCAGAGCATGCTCCCCCTTCTCCGCTAGGGACCGAATGAGATATTTAGAGTTCGGCAAAGCCGTACTTTTACCATCTGACCTGAAAAACTAATCGGCTTCATTAGAAAGCTGGGTTTTTTAGGTCGAGTGTGAATAGGTGTGGGCCAGAATAAACTTTTGCGGGTTGCAGTGGAGGGTTGAATAAACCCTCCCACTTTGGACCTAACCTAACTTAAGCTAACCTCATTGTATGCGCATACACATACATGGAAACATACAAATGTTGTTGAATACTTTGAAAACTGTTGACGTAGAAAAGTGTATATCAATAAAATTATGTTTTCGTAACATATCGACCATAATCCAAAGAACTGGCAACTTTTGAAACCCAATTTCTCAAAAACTATTGAAACATCTGTTTACATTTCATCAAACTCCGCCAAGAAAAATTAGAAAAAGGGTAAACTCCAAAAAGTAAAACTAAAACCTAGATAATAAATAGGTTAACATAGTTCTCTACTTCACCAAACATATTTTAAAGCAGATTGTTGTCTATGCTTTGTATTATTGAAAAAATTCATAGGTACATTGAAGTTTAAACTTGTATAAAATAGTAATATTCAGAGAGAAATACAAAAAACTGGTCTAACAGACGTTGAATAATGACGAAAATTTGATCGAAGAAAGAAGTTCAATCTCACCTGCAGCTAGTTTTTGTTTGATTCAGATGCCAGAAGCTTCTGAAATCGCATCATAATAGAAGAAGTCAAACAGTTTAGCGATCGTGTAAAAATTGATTTTTCTGAGACATGAACAGTATTCGAATATAGTCGAAATGCACGATATTGTGAACATTTAAAGTTTTCGGCACTCTTGAAGGCCAAAAAAATCATACATAGAAATGAACCGGCTGCGAAATAGTCCACGTGAACTGCAGAATTGGCGGTTTGTATTGGATAATTTTTACTAACCGAGTTTTATGATTGGCTGAAGAGTCATAAAATAAAATTTGAATTCATGTTACGGTAACGAATAGAAATCGGAAATGCGGGAATGATTATCGCCGTTCTGTTCAGTTCAGGAACTGATCGCGATTTGAGTGTTGAAATTCAATAATGGTGCAGTTATAATTACTTGAAATATTTGTTAACTAACTGTTTAAAATGTGGCGTCCTTGGGCAAGTACTAATAGTAATAACCAGTGTAATAAAAACGCATACTTTTTCCAGTGTAGTGGTTCCAATAGCGATGGTGATCAATGCGAAAAAGAGATACCAGTGGATAAGATTTTGATGCATTTCAATATTGAAACACAGAGAGTATGTTTCAGTGTATATAATAATCTACATCTCAAGTTTGGTTTCGAGGGAAACAAACTATTACAAGCAACATCAGATTTGATGGAAATTCCTTTCTCGACTGTGATACAGGATTGGCAAAAGATGTTCATCTAATAAAATCATTGAAAAAACAATATAAGACTGTTACAAATCAATGAGTTGCCTACTGTGTATACCCTTGAGAGTATTGCTGAAAAGAATGGACACACCATACTAAGACTTCCCCCTTATTTTTGTGTTTTCAATCCCATCGAGTTGATTTGAGGAAAATTGAAACAAAGCAACAGGTGTAAAAATAATTCTCCGAGATTTTATGAGAAAGGTAATAGAGCTAATTGAAGAAAATTTATCTAACGTTTGTTTGAAGGTGGTTGACAATGTTTCGTGTATTTCATTAGTTCGGACTTCCATTGTCTATTAACCGAAAATAACAATTGAAGAAAATTTATCTAACGTTTGTTTGAAGGTGGTTGACAATGTTTCGACTATTTCATTAGTTCGGACTTCCATTGTCTATTAACCGAAAATAACAATTTCATCAAACAAAAAACTGAAATTATAAAGAAATAGAATACAAGCAACAACCAAAAAAATAAAAAATTGAAATATTAATGAAAGCTGAAAATAACAAAATATTATTAACAAAAAAATGAAAAAGATTCCAAACCAAGTTACGTCACGACGTTTCGATTGTTAGTATCCACAATCGTCTTCGGGGTTTTGGTTGTTGCTTGTATGCTATTTCTTCCCTTGCAGCTACATTTCTACCATATTCCCAATAACTACACGAAAAATGTAAGGTTCACTATGGACTATGCTAACTATGGAAATTTGCGTTGCGGCTGCCGTCCAACCACGAATAAAAAGTGAGAATTCAATTTGTTAAAATTATCAATTGATAGTGCTGTGAGTGGATGTCAAAAAGTGGAATTCGTTAATCAAAAAAGTGATACTATCCAACTTTACTTTTTTGACATCTCACAGCACAATAAACCAATCAATAATCATTTACTTTATTTAGAAAACTCCCCATTCAGTTTGGTACTGAATATGGAATTTGCAAATTTTTACATGTAGCAGTCGCTGAGCTTCCTAAAATAGTATCTGTCTACATTGATAGGTGAAGTCAAGCCAGTATTTTAGTTCTTCACTATCGAAACCAGATATATTTTCGTGGACCCCCGTTCACGAATTGTGAACCCTCATTTTTTATCACGCCAACGTAGACACCCGTCAAGTCACTCGTGGGCCCATAGGGGTCCATATGGGCCACTTTGGGAATCACTGGTTGATAGGAACTTTCATGGCAAACTGTTAATATTTCTAATAAACTTGAAGCATACCTATTGAATGATATAACTCAGATCAAAATTTCTGTGAATGTTATAAAGAAAAGTAACCTCTTCTACAAAATATAACTGAGAGTTGACATTTCCAATGCAGGCAGAAAGTTGCTGCCTAATAAAAAAATATTTCCTAGAATACAGTGTAATTGAAAGGATTGAAATATAATACCTATTTCATAGATTTTTCTTCACTGAAATAATTTGTCGAACAGTTTTATGTAGATATGCAATGTTATTTTTCACCCAGGTGTGAATAAAAACGTTACTCAAGAATAATCATATAAGATATAGTGAGTAAATAAAGGGTTGCAACTCTTCATCAAAACATCTTATCTGCAAGCATTATTGAAGGGGAGATAATTTTTCAAATGAGGTGTGAAAATTCCCATGTGATTAACTTTCCGATTGAAAGTATTCGTCAATATTATTACCAACTTATTTCTGAGGAGGATCAGATTAAAATGAATTTGTCAGCAGAATGATTTGGTTCAATGATACACCAGTGCAGCCGAAAGTTAAAATGAAAAAAAAATCAACGAACGGTTTAACAGAGCGCTGGAAAACAGTAGATATCACACAAGAAATGCAGCAATCCTGGAAATGCCGAATCTTCGTCTTCAAAAAACAGAACATTGCCCAAAATACATGGCAATAACCTTGTTTAATCATCTACCAAACTGCTAAAAAGATCTTCCTTTGAATAAATTCAAAATAGTAGTCAAAAATATCTTATTAAAAATAGCGTACTACTCTATAAGTGATTATTTGGGAGACACAGATTTTAACTGATTTTATATTTCATGTATGCATGCATATTTTCATATTTTATATTTTATCAAACTA